GCAGATCTTCATCACGCCATATCACCCCCAAACGAACTGGGTCGAAAGGGTGAATCGTAACATCAAGGCCATGCTTCAAGCTTACACCGGATCTGACCATCGACAGTGGGATGTTCATCTCGCTGAACTCGCGTTTGCCCTGAACAGCAGTAGTCATGACACACTTGGTGTAGAACCATCAGTAGTTATGTTTGGACGGCGCTTGGCTTCTCCCTTGACTAACCGCCTGCAGACTGAGGGAAACAGACATTCCTACGCAAGAAGAAATCGCACACAATCGTCGACGCGCTGTTAGTAGCTCCAAACAATACTACGACCAGAGCCGTGATGAGTGCCGCATCACTGAAGGAAGCCAAGTCATGGTGAAGACTAAACCTCTATCAAATGCGGAAAAGAACTTCTCAGCTAAGCTAGCACCACGATGGACTGGGCCGTTTGTTGTGCAGAAAAAACTAACCCCAGTGAATTTTCTTGTGGTGAACGCTGCCAACACGAAGATAAATTGCATTGTTCATGTGGACCAATTGAAAGGGTGCTAATTACTTCGAACATAGACTTCGCATGTTGTCAACACTGTTAAAATTGTCGCTTATTGTAGCATATTGGATCAGGACTGGTTGAAAGTTCGCGACTCACGATTACATTGACTTACCTCTATAGCCGAGTAAGATTGCAGTTTGGTCGAGAGCGGGACTGTCGCAGTTGGGCTATGGATCGCGAAACTAAATGGACGCTAAGTTTAATTGATCTGGACTCTTAATATAGATTCTAACAGACTCTTATTTCAACTGATGTTATATGTTTAATGTCAACCATTTATATTGGTGCGTGCCCATGTGCTTTAATTCTGGCTCGTGCAGAATTATGCACTCTTCAGAATTGTTGATGACTATAACATGTCGGATCCTTATCTTTACAGTTAAAGGATAAATACAACCGGTTGGAAATTGTTGAAAATTGGAACTGTATATAAACTTGTGATTCCCTGCGAATTTTCTGTCTTTGCATCTAGTGTTTTTACTTAGAGTTATACATGTACACTGAATTTTTGTGCACATGAAATTGTTATACAGTATGTACACAGAATTTGTGTTTCAAAAGATAAACGAAACAAAAGGACTACCAATTGAGTGTAGTTTATAATTTACACATATACAGATGTTAGTTTTGCTAACGTCCTACACTTTGGTAAACACTATATCTGACCTGACATTGGGTATAACAATATATATATATATATATTGTTATATATATTTAAATGTTTTTGCCGGACCTGCTGAACGGATTTAAATTAATAGAGGATACGAAGTATGTTTAGTTGTCATTCATCCTACACTTTAGCCATGCAGGTAGGGATAAATTACAAATTTGTCTAAGGGTTATTTCTTTTAGAAAGAAATCAAACAAAAGAGCACTCAGCTGTGCTGGTGCTGTGTTACTTCTCTTTGATTTTTCTTTGAAAAGGTATTCATGGATATGTTTGAACATGTTCAGACGATAATCTGTATTGGACGTTTTTTCTTGTTGGTTTTTGGCATTATGTATTTTGCATCTCTGTTTTAAAGGGGGAAAAGCTATCCTTTGGGGTGCGGTGTTCGTTATTCTTACAGTGTACATTTTTTGAGTACTGATGGTATCTTGCGCAGACAAGCGAACTGGGTGTATAGATTTACCCTGAACTCAACATAGAAAGAGTCGATAGCGATCACAGCAAATTAAGAGAACTGGTGGTCGTCTGTTTTGTCTGTACGCGCGCTTGGTTGCAAAATTGTTGCTTCACATGTATATGTCTCGGGCGAGATTTGGCTTGTTTTATGAGCAGTTTGGAAATGTTTGAATATAATTTGAAAAAACCCCGTAGGGTATTTTTGGTGGGGGAGAGTATAGGGATTGATATCGTGATAACCGATACCGATACCGATATGATCGGGAGAGGGATCGAGAGAGGAGAAAATGGACGATTGTCTGTAACATTCTGATTGTTGTTTCTAAGGCCGTTGTCGCCTTATTAAAGGTGTTTTAACCCAATTCCTGTCTGAGATCTAATCCTTCCTGTCTGTACATAGTGAACCCCCTTATAACTTTATGCTGCTACCTCGAAATTCTTGACATAAATCTCTGTTCAATTGATCGATCTTCAATTTTTTGCATTTCGCGCGCCGCCGCGCCTAGCTCTAAGCCTATGATCGGTATTAATACGGCCGCGCATATTTTGTAAGGACGCGCATTCGTGATCGTGATTAGCACAATTAACGTACGCTCATGATTATGCATTCAAATTCGATCTAGACCCAAACCATGTTTTATATCTCTTCAGCTTTTTATTGCATGAATTAACGAATACAAAGTGACAACATATCATGTCTTTCCTCCTCAACTACTCGTCATCCACATTCTCTGATTCATTCATTTTCTTTCTGTCTCGATCAGGCACGTACGCAGTAGGGGGGGGGGGGGGGGGGGGGGTGGTGTATGTTTTTTGAACCCCCCCCTTATAAGTTTTTTTTTTTTAATTTGTTTTTATTTGTTTAAAAAAAAAAAATCATATTGACGCAGGCGCGTAGCCCCCCCGGGGGGGGGGGGGGGGGGGCATTACATGTAAGTGCCCCCCCCCAAACATCGAACTCTGGCTACGCGCCTGAATGGACGACCTAAAAAAGATGACCTTACCCCCCCCCCAAACGAAACGGAATGTCGATGGGTCAAATCTTTCAAATTTCGGGCCCCCCAAAAATATATATATATATCTCTAATCCCCCCCCCCCCCGCACGCTTATTCAGCGGCTGGCTGAGTCGTTGCGAAATTTTTGGCCCGATTTCAAAATGTTAACCCCCCCCCCCCCCCCCACACCTTCCGAAAATCCTGCGTACGCCACTGCATGGTCTCGATCACTTTGCGAGGAGGAGTAGGGGGGGGGGGGGGGCTGATGCCTTAAATTTGTCTGACTATTATTTATTAACTCTTTAGTTTCCGAATGATAATTTCTTTGGAGAAAAAAAAAGAGCTGTTCACAATTCGTGTGTTTGCTTGAAGGGATAAACACGGTGTATATATAGAGAGAAGTAGATATTATAGAGGGAGGGGCGAGATAAATATAGAGAGATGAACAGTGTGTGTGTGTGTGAGTGGCGGATCCAGCGGGGGGGGGGAGGGGGGGCAAAGGGGGCACGTGCCCCCCCGCCCCCAAACAAAAACAAAAACAAAACAAAAAATTAGTGCTCACTACTCCCCCCACCCCCCCCCCCCCCCCCCCCCCCCCCCCCCCCCCCCCCACTGAGCGAATTTTCGGCCGCGCGATTTTCAAATTTGCGGGAGCAAAAAATAAAATGGCCCTCCCCCCCCCCCCCCCCCCCCCTCTAAGAAATCCTGGATCCGCGCCTGTGTGTGTTATGCATAATATGCAAACATAAATGTATATATATTTATACATGTATGAAAGAATAGATCTTCCTGACTCGCATTAGAAGGGATTCTGTTTTTCGGGTTACGGAAAACACCCTCCTTCAATTTTTTTTAAATTATTGATCATAAAATTATACTGAATTCACAATCCTTTCTTCTTTTATCCCAGTTTCCCTCCTTTTATTTTCTTTTTCTTATTTTCATGAATTAAGATTTAATCAATCATCTCCCGTTCTCCCCTCTTTCCATCCTTCATTCACCCCCTCTCTTGTTCTCTCTCCCTCTCTCTCTCTTTCTCTCATCCTTCCTTCCCCCTATCTGTCTCTCTCTCTCCATCCTTCCTTCCCCTCTTTCTTGCTCTCTCTCTCTCTCTCTCTTCAATTTTCTTTCACCGTCTCCCGTTCTCCTCTCTCTCTCTCTCTCTCTCTTTCTCCATCCTTCCTTCCCCCTATCTCTCTCTCTCTCTCTCTCTCCATCCTTCCTTCCCCCCTCTCTCTCTGTCTCTTGCTCCATTGTTCCTTTCCCCTCTCTCTCTCTCTCTTTCTCCATCCTTCCTTTCCCCTCCCTCTCTACCTCTCTCTCTCTTTCTCCACCCTTCCTTTCCCCCCTCTCTCTCTCTCCATCCTTCCTTTCCCCTCTTTCTCTCTCTCCCTTTCTCCATCCTTCCTTTCCTCTCTCTCTCTTCAATTTTCTTCCCCTATCTCTCTCTCCCTCTCTCTCTATTTCTCCATCCTTCCTTCCCCCTCTCTCTAGCTCTCTCTCTTTCTCCACCCTTCCTTTCCCCCCGCTCTCTCTCTCTCTCCGTCCTTCCTTTCCCCTCTTTCTCTCTCTCTCTCTTTCTCCATCCTTCCTTTCCCCCTCTCTCTAGCTCTCTCCCTTTCTACATCCTTCCTCCCCCCTCTCTCTCTCTCTTTCTTCCCTCTCCCTCTCCCTCTTCTCTCGTTTGATCTCAACTTATTCTCTTCTCTGTCATTATCTCTGACTGTCTCACCCTTAAGACTGTCGAGTCCACCCGTATATTAAGTTGGTTTCACTTGAAGCAGACAGTTGAGACGAACAGGTAATAGAAAGTTTGAGCAAAACCTGATTAAAAAATAGAAAGTTGTTAATTTTTTAAGTTCGGATTTGCAACTCTGTGACGTACCTTGCTATGTTCACTTCTATTATTTTGATTCCGTACAGAAAATTTCATAAACTGTCATAATTGTTAGCTATTGATGGCGGAGTAGATTTGCATCATTTGGGTTGTTTAAAAAAATATTTGCAATCCTTATATTTCGGGTGCTTGTATGAATGACAATTTTCTTTCGAGAAAATAGAAGGCTAAATAAATAGAAAGCTCTGAATTATTTTTGGACAGAGCAAATGGTAAGCTAAGGACCTCGCAAGATTCGTCACAGTGTTGCCAATTTGTGTTTGAGTGATCGCAACTTTAAAGATACGTAACCTTTTTCCTCAATCGGATAATGCTCTAACTGTCACTAACCTGTTCCTCCTATTTTCCTGCTTCTATTAAACCAACTTTATATCAAGGTGGGTTTCCCCTTTAAGACTGAAATGTGATTGTCTATAAATAACTGCATTCTGAATAATGTGCTTATGATAATTGCTCATGAAGTTTATTTTACCAATAATCAATCGAATTTAAAAACTTTATAGTATTGCTACATGCACCTAAAGAAGAAAAGGAAGAAGAGAAAGGACAAAAAGAAGAATTAAGTTAAATGCTACATTAATTTTAAACAGGGGATTTCGGCGCATATTCTGACATAATAATTCCCTTCTATCCCCTCTTTCCATGGAAGTTTCCCTAGCGGGGGAATGCTCTGTTCTCATTTAAGAAATACTTAAGAAATGGTTTTTTAAAACTTTATAGCAATGCTATACATGCATCTAAAGAAGAAGAAGAATGACAAAAACAACAAGATAGTTAAATGTATGCTATAATAATTTTAAAAATGGAACGTGGAATTTCGGCGCATATTCTGACATAATTCCCTTCTATCCCGTCTTTCCATGGAAGTTTCCCTATAGCGGGGGATGCTCTGTTGGATTTTAATTGTCCTCGAGTTGGGCCAGGATCTCAGCCACGAGCTCGAGCTCTTTCTTCTCTTGATATGCTTCGTCTTCTTCCTGTTGGTACAAACAGTTATAGTGCTCTTAAAGGTGACAATCAGGAACTCGAGTGTAAGATATATAAAGGGAAAGCTCGGACGTTTATATAACAGCCCGTTTTCCCTCCCCCTCCAATTTTACGTATCATTTTGATGTGTCTTTTTAGGACATGCCAACGCGATGAGAATATGATATATTTTGGCTGCTAAGACAATTTTTTCAGTTTTTTTTTAATACAAAATGAGCACCCTTTCTCTATGTAAAATCAGAAAAGAAATAACTACAACGTCACGATACGCATAATTCAGTGCAAAATCAAAAATGCCTAATTATAATGTTCCAAAGCCTTATTAGTTCGATTCAAGCATTTTATCATTCTTTTAATTTCTGTTTGGTATGAGACCTATACTTATTTTCTTTCAAAAGCATTATCAGTTCGATTTCAACTACGTTTGTATTTTTCTCAAATGTGTTTTAGTACATTTTACAATTGTTAATTCCATTGTACACGGGCTCAATCCAACACTCTCCCAACTGATACTTGCATTGCTCCCTCCCCCTCAAATGGATACACCCTTCGACAATTTACTCCCCCCCCCCCCGTGTGCCTTTCCTTCACATACATTAGAGACTTTTAGCTTTGCACGACGAGAACGTGGACCGTAGTGCGACGGTGTGACATCCTTTTAAGGCAATGTGACGTCCTTTTATAAGGCACTGGCAGTGACATCACATTGCCTTAAAAGGATGTTACACGAGCAGTCCACGTTCTCGTCGTGCAAATCTAAAAGTCCATATTAATATAATGAGAGATGCCCACCTTCAGAGTCTGGAAAAAATCTTCTTCCTTCTCGGCGTACGCTTCTTCCTTCTCGGCATACGCTTCTTCCTGTTGGTACAAACAGTTGTGCTCTTATAAGTGGCAATCACGAACTCGAGTGCAATTAGAGATTATAAGGGAATTAAAGATCGGACATTATCTGACAGCCCATTTTCCTGAAACTTCTCTTTCTTTGAGCCGGGATGACTTTGCAATTAAATAGTGTTAAAGGGACTGGGTCGTCGGTAGTCCAGCCTCTGTACCGTTTTCGTGTCGTGCGCCCAGTCAGCTGATAAATAACACGCCCTCAACGTTGACAGTAGACCTTGCCGTTACTTTCATTTTGTATGGACGGTAATTTTGGGGATCGCGCGATGAGTAGAGACACCGCGCTGTGTGTGTGGGACACTGTAGAGGTCAGTGGTGTGGGATCGATGCGTGTGATAAAAGAATAAAAATAAAAAACGGACAGAATCTGGACTTGGTTGTCGGTTTCCATACATGTGCAGAAGGCCATAATTCGCTGGCACTAGACTTGGTGGAAATACCATTAATGGTGGGACAAGTCTGCACACAGCAAATCCGTAGGCCTATCAAGAAATACCCCCTAGTCTCGGAGAGTCTTCGGGTGAGGGAACTGTCATGAGGCCTGTTGTTTAAAAAAAATATGAAGGCCAATCCAGGTTATCGGACAACACCTGTTATTGGGTAATCATCCAGACGGTGCCGAATTCGTCATGAGAGCCCACTCCTACGCGTCATGTACTTTATCTCTGATGTGGAAAACTTTAGGTCAGAGAGCCAGCATTCATGTACATGTAAGTAAGTCAAGAGACCAACACTTTACTAGAAAAGGCCACTGTGTTTTATTTTGTATTTATTTATTTATTATTTATTTATTATATATTAATATATTTAGTTATCTATTGTTTTCCTATTTACCTGTTAATCTATTAATTACTAATCTATTATTTTCCAATTTATTTATTTATCTATTAATTTACTTATCTATTCATTTTCTTATTTAATTCTCTATTTACTTACTTACCAACTCGTTCATTTCCCCTTTTTAAAGGGGGTGTAGCCTGTTTTCGTCAATCGAACTCTTCATAAAACAGCACATTCTCGAGTGTCATGAGAGCTTTATTCTTCAATTAACATGTTTGCCTACAACACCTTTTCGTAATTCTTATCATAACAAACGTCTGTGTGTGTGTGTGTGGGGGGGGGGGGGAATAAAGTAGGCCCTGCCGAATAAGCCTGGACAAAACAACAACATAGTAATACAAAATATGAACAGCCACCAAAACTATCTAGATATTATTATTATGTTGGGGGTTCAATTGCTTATTTATTGTTGTTTACTGGTATCATTTTATTCTTTTATATATTCATTTTATTCTATTCATTGATATTTTTGAGGGGTGTAGCCTGTTTTTTCAACCGACCTCTTCATAAAATACAATTTCCAGAGTGTCATGAAATAGTTTTCAATCACTTAAAACATGTTTGCAAACAACACCTTTTCTTAATTATAAGCAGTGCAAATAGCTGTAGGAGCCAAAGTATGCCGAAAACCTATCCACAGTCATATACAAAAAAGGGACTGAACAGCCTTCAGAAAATCTCTAGTATTTTTTTCTTTCATTCTTTAAATTTCCTTTAATTGTTTATTCATCATTGTTTTAATTACTTTTATTTATTGTTATCATTATTTTAATTCTAATTACACATTTAGTTTTTCGGGATGGGATGGCGGTAGGATTGCCTCACCCCTCTATTCAAGGGTGGGGTTATACGATTGTTGGTGTTGTTCTTACCAGTTGTTCTATCATGTCATAAAGCTCCCTCGCTGCATTTGTCTGTTCTGTAATTTAAAAGAGAAAACATATAGCAGTCAATATAATTCAATTAAAGATAAACTTGAGTTCTGGTAAAAAAAAAAGAAAATTAATTCTCACATAATCAAACGAAACTTACACTGAATGTTCAAGATTACAAATAAATGACATGTGCCAAACAATTTTGGAAGAAAATGTATACTGGCTGAGTAATGAGCATAGAAAGACAAGGAAATCAAGGTAGTACCAGCCCCGACACCATGCGTGTTGTCCCATATATAACTTTCTGTGTACGTGTTTGTTACTTTACCAAGACTCGGTCAGATTTATTATGATTTTGATGACTCCAGAACCTTGTAGTGCACACCAATACTTACATGCTACATGATCAACTGTTTCTGATCCTTTCCACACCTTTTCTTTCACAATGCAATCGCATTACCAGTACTAAAGTTTATCTTTAAATTTAACGACGTCTGACAACCAGAAAAAGCAGCGACCATCGATAACCATTTTGCAAAACTTTAGAATGGGAGATCAGTAACTGTTATAGATAGGGTGAAGGGCAGTTGCCGATCGGTTGCCAAATATCCTATACAAATTGTCAGAACATCAACGAATTTGTAAAAATTATTTGCGACAGCTCCTGGAAATATTTACGATTGGTTTGCAGTTTTTCGGCGATCGGCAATAATAAACAACTGGTAGGAGATCAATGGACAATGTTATCATTATTCATGTATGCACCGGCGGTACATTCTATGATACGCAAGGGGAGGTATTCTTTTCAAGAGGGAAAAAGTATTTGTGAAGCAGCTCCATAACTGTTGCGGTGATCATTCAATAAAATGCAGAAAGTGTAAAGGATCTGTGGATATTTGGGATCATTTATTTCAGCGTTTTTCAACCTTTGATTAGTTACGGTACCCTTTTAAGAAATAACAAGTTTCGCGTCACCCCTATCCCAAATTGATCACAGAAGACTTGTTTTGCATCACTATGGCACTCGTCAAGTGCCATATATACACCAACAGGCACATTTGTTTCTAGTAAGCGGGCGAGCGCAGCGAACGAACAAAAAAAAATATGTAAAAATATTATTTTGCAATCAAGACACATTAGGTAAGATATAAAACTATATATATATATATATATATATATATATAATTTATAAGATATTAAATTATGAAAGCTGGCACCTCGCTGCCTAATGCATAGATACACAAATCAAATATTCAATCGCCTCGATACACAAACATTAGGATATTTTCGGGCATCTCGTTGCCCGGAAATATCCTGTTTCTAAAATGTTGTGAGCGTTAAAAGTGTTAAAATGATATTAAAATACAATTATTCGTAACCAGTGTATGAAATAATTGTAGGACTTAAAAAAGACTTGTGCATTAGATTTGATTACATTACGAAAATGGTCACGTTCTATCTCCGAAGTGGCTTATTATGAAATGAAGTGACTTTTTTTTGCTGCATCCACATTATAGTGCGGTATGGTATGTAATCCCGTAGGATTTTTGTGCCAAAGTTGATTTTTGTTGTTGTTGCTGTTTTGGCTTCAAAAGGGTCCCAATTGGCCAAAAATGATGGGGTTCAAATTTTCAGACCCCTCCTTCATTTCCTGGGGGGTCTCTATTGGGCGCCAAAATGGCTTATAATAATGCGCAATAGGGAAATGTGGTGTCTTCGGGAAAATTTGAACCCCCATCAATTTCTGATAGCTTGGACCCCAATGAATCCAAAAATATCAACTTTGGCACAAAAATCCTACGGGAGCTGTTTCAGTGACATACCATACCACACTATTAAATCGATTCGCACTCGTAACATTTGGTGTTTTTACCAGGCTGTTGCAACACGAAATAAATCTAAAAAAAAAGAATAACATGATCCAAATAATTAGTTAAATTAGTTAATCTTCTCATTTGTTCGTCCTCTTTTCTTTCAGTCAAAAAATATAAGACAAAAAAGTAAAGTTGCGCACCAGCAGTATAAGCAAAATCAGAATTGCTTTTTTTTTACCTCGAGTAAATTTTCAATCATAATGCACCCTAAATATAATTAATGCAAATCGTCGCTGTTTTCACGAAGTGACTTCGTGAAAACAAGGACGAAATATGTTTCTATTCAACCCCTGTATGGAAAAAATCTATTCCGTCATCGATATAACGAGGAGAATGAAAGTTTATGAAATCTGGTGTGGAGAAGAGCTTGCAAGATACGTCACAGTGGTGCCAATTAGTGTTTGAGTAATCGCAACTTTAAAAAATGTATTACTTTCCTATTTTTATCGGAATTTGCTCAAACTTTCACCGACAACTTCTTCTCATTTTTTCTGCTTCTCTTAAAAAAAAATTGATATCAGGGTAGACTTCCCCTCTATTCAGTAACTGAACTTAAATTGTTCGTACATCAACTTTTATCAACCAAATATCGCCTGGTAATAGTGGGCAACCATTGAGGGTCAGTCGGCAATCAGTCTGAGAACTGTTGTCTACCTTTAGAAGATCAAGAAAAACAATTTCACAGTAATTTTGGTCGACAAAAGGTTTTCGATGAAGCGGCGTCAATCTCCAGCCGACCAAAATGCTTCAGAGCCCCCTGGCAACCTTTTAAAGACTAACAAAAACCTCTCAGCGACCTCTGACAACTGACTCCCAATTAGCGGTTGTCGGGTGTCGGCGACCGGTCGTATCTCTGGAGTGACTAAGCTTTAATGGATCAACCAGGAGTCATAAAATAGGCCTAACTTAACTTATCATTAGAGAATAAACGTCGCATAAACTTACCGGTGCGTGTTCCTGTGAAATAGGAAAACAGAAGAAAAAAAGGACGTTATAATATGTTTTGTAAATAATCATGAATTCTTCATTTGTTTGGAAGACGGATTGTGTTCACAATGGTTTTCTGTTGACAATACTAATGCGTTTTGTAAAATTTCACTTTTGACTGGACCCCATGTTCAGTTGTACTATAAATACCGCGATTACATAATCATTACCAATGGGGCAGCAGCGTAAACGGGAATAAGCAGGCTTTTCAATAATACCAATGTTGAGCATGAAAAAGTAGTACTACGAGAGATATCAACGCTCAGACTTGAATTACAGATTTATTTGGAGGAGTTTTTAAATTCAAAGATAAAAGTTAAGTGGGGAATCTTACTGGTAGCAATCTAAATGGCAATGTAAAGAGGATTCCCTGTAACACATGATGAATAGCAAATAGAAATTAAGCCTCCTATAGCTAATACACCAGCTTACGGTAACATCAGTGCGCATGCGCAGACAAAGGCGCCATTTTAATACACCAGTTTACAGTTGTGTGCGCCATTTAAATACACCAGTTTACAGTTGTGTGCGCCATTTTAAACAAAGCCAATGACCTATAGAGGTCATGCGTAAATTAAGATTGCGCCCATGCAAATTTTGATGATAATTATCACTGCCTACGCGCTGCGTTGTGCGCGCACATCATTATTTGCATGGGCGCAATCTTAATTTTCGCATAAATACCAGAGGTCAGAGGTTATTGGCCCCAATTTTGGGGCCAATGACCCGAGGTCAACTGTCTGCGCATGCGCACTGATACAACTGTAAACTGGTGTATTGGCGAGTAAACAAAGCCAATGACCTAGAGGTCAGTGGTATTTATGCGTAAATTAAGATTGCGCCCATGCAAATGATGATGTGCGCGCACAACGCAGCGCGCAGGCAGCGATGTCATCATAATTTGCATATGGGCGCAATCTTAATTTACGCATAAACCACTGACCTCTAGAAGTCATTTGGTTTGTTTACTCGCCAATTAAAATGGCGCCCCTTACCGTAAACTGGTGTATTATTTCATTAACAAATATTAGAAATGACATTTACATTCTATAAGTCAGGGATGAAGTGCATATAATATAATCAGCGATAGTATTTTCACTTACCTCTGCACATAACACCGACTTCTTGGTCGCGGGTGCACTGGTTTTGCTCCCAGGGGTCAGCCGGGCAGTCGGTCAGTTTCGCCTCAGTGCCTGTGCATCTCACGTTGGAGAGCATGATAGGGCCCCGGCCCTGACCGTATTTCGATTCCAAGTACCTTAATGAGTATACACCGGCGGGGTAGCCCCACTGCCTGCAGACAACTTTGGCGTCTTCCATTTCGAAGCCTTGGTCGCACACGCTTCCCCACCTGCCTCCGTGAAAGACTTCGACACGGCCTAACCGGGTGGTGGTCGTTTCCGTTGTCACGAGACGGATATCGTTCTCTGGTGATTGTATAACCAACACAATACAACAGGATTAACAACACAAATCTCACGAAATCCTTACAAATTTACACGAATTGAAAAGACTTCATGGCTCATATGATTGTATGAAACCTGATTCAGCCTAGTTGTCAACTAACTATATGTACATGTATGTCCTAAAGCCTATGCCAGGGGCGGCCGAGCGATTTCCAAAGTGGGTGGGGGCACCAAGAAGAAAGGGCACCCTCTGGAAAAAGCACCTACAAAGAGAAATCTCAAAGCGAAAATATACAATCTTTTAGACATTGGTATACACCCCTACATTGTGATTACATTATCAGGATTGATTTCAATATTTGTTTCACTTTATACACCAAGCAAGATATTGCTTAGGCGTCATGCTTTGCAGTTGGGTGTGATGGTCTGAACAATTATTTGCGAGCGAGCGAATCGAGCAAGGAAAAAATGTTAAGATTTGTGAGATCGCAGTGCGAAAAATTACATCTTATAAAGAGGAAAAAAACCAATCATAATGGGGTTATAAGCACATTCTCATAACGGAAGACTGAAAAGACCTTTGATAAGTAACATAAGTATATCATCTATAGATGCTTGCCAGCGAGCTTTGGGAGAAATTGCTCTTAGTCGCTTGAAATTTGGGGCCCGTTTAATGATGAGAGGAAAAAAAGTATGTGTCAAAGTACAAAGAGTAATTATCAGAGGTGAAAATGGGGCACTTATTACACCCTCAAAAAGAGGCACTCACCAGGGATGAAAAAAAGTCAGTCATGAGAATAGGAAATGGGCATTTGTCGGCGGAAAAGGGGCCGTCATCAGATTTTGATAGGGGCATTTATGAAAAGGGGATAGGTCCCTCATTAGAAAGGAAAATGTGCATTAGTTGAAAGAAAATGGGCACCGATCAGATTTTAAAGGGGCATTTAACAGAGGTTAAGGGGGCACTTATCTGAAGTGAAAAGGAGTAACTTTTCGTACCTGAAAACATTCATTTACCAGAGAAAGGGCACTTATGAGAAGGGGAAGGGGCTCCTTTTTAATGGGCACTTATCATTAGGAAAAGGGGTACTTATTATAAAGGAAAAGGGGCATTAGCTAAAAGAAAATGGGCACCGATCAGATTTTAAAGGGGCATTTATCGGAGGTTAAGGGGCACTTATTTGAAGTGAAAAGGAGTAACTTCTCTGCCAGAGAAGGGGGAAGGGGCTCTCTTTTTTCAATGAGGCACTTATCATTAGGAAAAGGGGCACTAATTACATAAGAGAAGAGGCACTTGTCGAAGTAAAAGAGGCACCTCTCAGATTTGAATAGGAGAATAAAATTATTATTAGAGGTGAAGGGGGACTAATCAAAAGTGAAAAGAGGCACTTCTCGTACCTGATTCAAAGGGGCACTTACTAAAGATTAAAAGGGCACTTATGAAAATGGAAAGTGGACACTTATTGCAAAGGAAAAATGGAACTTTTCGAAGGAAAAGGGGCACTTATCAGATTTGAAAAGGGGAAGAGGCACTTTTCAAAGTAAAAGGGGCACTATTCCTATGTAAAACGGGGCACTGTCCCCCCCCCCTTCCCGGAGTGCCACCCCTGGCCTGTGCACAGCAAGCCTAGTATGGTTTTTATCAATATCATGAATATGGGTCCCGGTAAACGGTAAATCCAAAAAAGAAGAGCGGAAAGACCTTTGAAAAACCAATCATTCAATAGTCTTGTCGGGAGTCTTGAAAAGTGCGACCATTGCAATATATGACTCATTACCTAATCAAAATATGATGTACGTATATGGTAAATACTCCAGAGTATTGGAATTGCCATTATTTCAGAAACCTTTGCGATCGTCTCCAGGGCAAAAAGCCGCGTTCTTCACGAGATTAGCCAACATTACAATCACATTACGTAATCCATTGTTTTAATTTTTTCAACGTTATACAATAGGTTATTGATACTGTCAAATTATATTATACATTTCGTAAAAATAATGGTCTTGCGACGTCAATACTTGGGTTATGATAAGAGGAAACAGGAGATTATAAACAAGGCACTTAAAACAACAACAACAATAACCCCGATCCCCAAACAAAACGAAAATTACATTTAGAACACCAACCCCTAACACCACCACAACCACAACCAAAAACAACAAAAGCAATCTTACCTTGGGGCACGGCTGTAGAGACAGAAGTAAAAATAGAAATAAAAGGGGCGTGAGCTATATTGTTAGAGTAAATATTTTGCTTAAACATGTTAATTAAAGGCATATTATTCCGACATGCATGGCTACCACTGATGTAATGTTTTTTCGATCGCGCCATCTTCCAGGCGCGTAGCCAGGGGGGGGGGGGGGGGCTAAATTCAGACAAGATTTAAGAGTCGAGGACGGTATAACGAATCGTCTTCTTTCTCGAATAATTTAATAAAACGTCAAAGATTTCGCGCTTCGTGCGGGAGGGAGGAACTGAATTCAGACACGGATTAAGAGTCGAGAACGGTACAACGATTCGTCTTCTTTCTCTAATAATTTACTGAAACGTCAGAGCTTCAGCGCTTCGCGCTGGAGGGGGGGGGGGGAGGGGACTGAATTCAGACAAGAATTAGAGCCCCACTGCGCTTACTTGCGCCCTCTATATAGCCAAAAATGCCTAAGCTTCAGGGGCGGATCTAGCTTTTTGCCAAGGGGGGGGGGGGTTTGACCAAAATAATGACGATGCGGAGCATCGTCCACGAGCCGCGAAGCGGCAAGCCGATTTTTTTTGGGGTGTTTATTTGAACCCCGTAAGTGATGTTTTCCTGGCATCTATTAGCACAATGGAGACCATAAAAAGTAGTGCATGATAACGTCTTTTCAAATCAAGTAACAGTTTAATACACAGTTATATCCAGAGTTATCATGTGTTTGGTTAAGTTACCAGATGAGTTGAATATCTTCTCACAATATTTGCACTTGAAAGGGTTTCTCTCCAGCGTGCGTTCTTTTTTTTTTTTCCTTTTTTTTTCTTTTTTTTGTTGGGCCGCCCTAGGGGGGGAGGGTTTAACCCCCCCCCCCCCGTAGATCCGCGCCTGAGCTTCGCGCTATTTGTAAGTAACTCGCGTGCTCACTGCCGCCGCCCCCCCTCCTAAAATAAAATCCCAGCTACGCGCCTGCCATCTTCCGGTCTAGACGTCGGTCTACACTGAGCAACCAATCATCCGATTAGGCAATTTCGATAGTCTTAATTTTTGGGAGTCTTGAAAAGTGCGACCATTGCAAACGGACTCATTACCTAATCCAAACATGATGTACGTATATGGTAAATACTCCAGAGTATTGGAATTGCCATTTTATTGATATTTCAAAAACCTTTGCGATCGTCTCCAGGGCAAGAAGCCGCGTTCTTCACCAGATTAGCCAACATTACAATCACATTACGTAATCCTATTTCTCAACGTAATACAATAGGTTATTGATATTGTCAAATTATATTATACATTTCGTGAAATGGTCTTGCGACGTCAATACTTCGGTTATGATAAGAAGAAACAGGAGATTATAAACAAGGCACTTAAAACAATAACAACAATAACCCCGACCCCAAAACAAAACGAAAATTACATTTTGAACCACAACCCCGATCACCACCACCACCACCACCACCACCACCACAACCAAAAACAACAAAAGCAATCTCACCTTGGGGCACGGCTGTAGAGACAGAAGTAAAAATAGAAATAAAAGGGCGTGAGCTATAATGTTAGAGTAAATATTTTTCTTAAACATGTTAATTAAAGGCATATTATTCCGACATGCATGGCTACCACTGATGTAATGTTTCTTCGATCGCGCCATCTTCCAGGCGAAGACCGTTGATCCCCTATGGTCCCATTTTTTTAATGTTCATTGAGAGCTGATTTGATGAGATAACCACATGCCAGTGACCATGCAGAGAATTCTAATCCCTCCTGGCCAAACTAGTGCAGATGGACTTGAAGAGTCGAGAACGGTACAACGAATCGTCTTCTTTCTCTTATAATTTAATGAACCGTCAAAGCTATTCCACGCTTCGCGCGGAAGGGGGGGGGGGGGGGGGGGGGGGGGGGGGGGGGGGGACTAGTCCGGCAGCCAAATCCAGATTATTGGCCTAACCTTGTTTTAGGGTCTATAGTTTTTTTTTCAATGGATTTTGATTGCCTAAAGCTTCTATTTCAAGAATCCAATTGCTGACACTCTGTCAGCCTTGAGCAATTTAAGATATATGACGTCATACAAAATGGCCGCCAAAGTACATGATTTTCCTTTAAAAATGAATAATAGATATATAATAAGGATTTTTTCTACAGATTTGGGCAGCTAAATGTCTGTATCTCTCTAGGACCATCACTAAACAAATGTTTTGTAATGTTGCATGGCCATAGATGACCAGCTTATTTGCATATTTTAAAATAGCGCCCTCTATAAACATATTAATTTGAATAAAATATGTGTGCCAGCCAAATGCGAATTTCTTAAATCTATGTCACGTTGAAATCATATTAAATGCTTTTTTGGGGGCCAATTGCAGTTGTGCTGCATTCATCTTTCATCTTGTTTGGTCCAAATGTAGGTAGGGTAGGTGTGGGGAATCGGAGACCCTTAAGCACATTTGCATAATTTACATAAACATGAACAATGTTACACATACATAAAGTTTTGTATTCTTTTCAGTAACTTTTTCTCTTTTTTTGGTAACAAAATTGTGGTCATGATGTAACTGATTAATAAGATAACAATGATTAATTATGTCATCACCAAACGTCTCTCATTACCTACATGTGTAGGTAATAACGGACAGTTACAAATCAAGACATTTTAAATACAATTTGAATGAAAATGCGATTGTTATAGTTAGTTCAAACACTTTTTGAAAGAGATCATGCAGCCTGAACTAACTGTAATTTTGAAACGCTTTTAAAACAATGTGGCCCAAAATATTTCTGTAGTTTTTTGTTTACAGTAATAAAGGTGCTTTAAATTATGTTTAAATACTTTCAGAATAATGTTCTGGCAATGTGACTTTTACATTGATCAAACTCACAGCATAGAAACAACTTCTTAAAATGAAATGCATTTAAATTAGAATGGTGACACGAACAACCAAATATATGTTTCATGATAGTGCCTTTCAACATGAAATGGACAACAGGGGGAAAGTAGGCCCCCACCTTGGACCTGGTGTCCCCCATTGCCTACACACATTTCTGATCAGACACCATTCATAATGTGCATTGCAACACCCATTCACAACACACAATGGCCATAGGTTTTCTGTGATGGTTGGCACACTTCATAAACTTCCTTTTAAAACTAATTTTTAAGAGCCACCCCTAAATATGCATACACCACAACATTAAGTGAAAATTATGTTTTTATATCAGAGCAAAATTTTACGATCAAAATTGCTTATCTTGGTCAATTTTGCCAATTTTCTCGGAGAGAGAACGCATTGTAGTCTTCGAAATGAATTGGATATATGCAGTAGTGTTGTTAGAGGCCACATATGGCGCTATAGCAATATTGGAGCCAACACGGAGAGACAGTGATGGGTTCAAGCTTGGTGTCTCCAATTCCCTACACCTACCCTACATATGTCAAGAAACAAAAATGACTATGAAAGAATTCATTTTTCATCAAATCGGTGAGAAGTGGTTTTACGGCACACATTATTATTCCATTGATAGGCTTTATTTAGACCAGCATTGCTCCAACGTCAGTGAATGTGGATAAAGCAGTTGACATTTGTACTAGACAGATGCATGAGTTTCAAAAGAAATTACCTGCATGGTGGATTCTATGACACAATTTCCCAGAATGTTCAAACCATGGCAGCCATGAAGAAGTCAATTAATGTTGGGGTAAGAAAGTCTATGAAAAGTTGATCTACTCCAGAGTAATAGGACTGCAGGCAAGTTCAAGAGAGGTCAATGTCAAGGACATTTTGTCAAAAGAGCTTTCACTAGTCCCAACAGCACTCTTTGATGATTCTGGAAACGAGCACTCCCATGTCAAAGGCGGACTTATACAATTTGACAAAAGTTGAGATGTCAGCCAGGCATGAGACACTGGAACAACCTGTACATTCATAGATGGGTGTGCTCTACTGTGGATGAAAATATGATGATGTTTGCTTCTTGTTTGACAGATCCAACAGTATCTAGAGGTCATAACGGGTCGAGAGTCTTCCAACTGAGTCCCGCGTCACTGCTGCCCTCCAAGAAATTATCTCTCACTGTTCGTCATTGTCGTCATTGTCATATAGATCATGGCTCACCCTTGTGACCCGTTTGTTGAGACCTTTCGATCGGTATCTGTCTCTTGCAATCCGGTAGAGTCTATTTAGTATTTAGAGGGTGGCTAGTGATTTCCCTTAGGTCGTCACTCCATCTGAGCTTGAGTCTTCCTGTGTTACGTGTTCCTTCAAAGGTACCTTGAATGATAATTTGTCAAGGTAGTCTCCTGATCTTTTGCTAACGTGACCAAACTATTGTAGCTTGTACTTGTCAATCCTGGTAGCAAGTGGCGGTTGATCTTCGTTGATGGATATTAATTGCGTCCATTGGTGATGTAATCTCTTCATGATATCCCAAGTAGCTTCCTCCAACATCACATTTCAAAGGCAGATATTGCTCCCATGTCTGCCTTTCCTAATGCCCATGTCTCGCAGCCATAGAGTTCCTACTTGGAAAAACAATGCCTTCATTACACGGATCTTAGTGGCCAAGGTGAGGTTCCTGTCCTTCCAGATATTTGACAGTGTTGAGGCCGATGTTTTAGCTATGGCCAATTGTCTCTTGATATCTACCGAGCTTCCACCCTCCTTGGCAATCATTGACCCAAGAATATTATATAAACTTGTCCACTTGATCAACTTCTTCTCCATCAACCACCATGCTCTGTTGCATGTAGTTAATTTCCACCAATCATAATCTTGGTCTTTTTCACATTAAGGTAGGGTCCAAAATATTCACTCGCATCCTTCACTTTTTTGTAAGGAGTTCTAGTAGTTCTTCTGATGTTCTTGTTATAAGTGTTGTCAGTGGCATAATGAGCAAAAACAATCACCACCACTCATACATGTTACATGCAGGCCCCGCGGAACGTTTTTAAAAGCGGGGGTGGGGGGGGGGGGGCTGAAGTATTTACGATCAGGAAGAGAGGAGCGCAAATTGGCGTGGGGTCCAGGGGGCAGGGCCCCCGGAAGCTCGGGGGTTGTAGGCAGCTAATAATGGTCAGATGAGCATCCATGCAGGGGCCTGCCTTAGGGCCCTAGGTGGGGTTCAAGGGGCACAACCCCCGGAAGCTCAGGGGTAATAGGCATTTAATAACTGTCAGATGAGCATATTTTGATACCTCACTTCACCTCGGGTCACTTTCTTTCTTTCTTTCTAGTTCTCTTTAACATACTTTATACCAAAAGTGAGGGGGTCGAGTCCCCTGAGCCCGCCGTTCCGCGGACCCTGGCATGTAGGCTTTTAAATAAGCATATTGTTTGCTTGACTGTGAATTTAGGGATTTGCATCTAAGGTTGGTGATCGTTTGTCCACCAACAGAAACTTGACCATAAAAAGCCTTTCTCATGATGAATTTAGCATAGATGTTGAAAAGTTATGGTGATAGGATGCAGCCTTGACGGACGACTTGACCAATAGTGAACCTTTCGGTGTAGCCATTCTCTGTTCTTACTGTTGTCTCTTGGTCTTGGTAGAGCGACTGGATGAGATGAATAATATGTGCTGGAAAGCCCATCTATAGCTCATAATCTTCCATATGCGTTTATGTTGTAAGATGTCAGGTTCAAGCATGGGCTCGTCCTTGACGCTTACTCCTTCATGAGTATCAACTTCTTCAGTTTCTTTTGCAGTATACGGTTTTACACAATATTACTTCTTCCACCTTGCCTTATATCTTCATCCTCTGTTAAAATGTTCCCATTTTCATTCTTCAAGACATATAAGTTTGGGTGTAGGTTTCTTGGTCAGTGACTTGATGTGTTTAAACATGTCTCTAGTGTTGCTAACTTCACTATCTTTTCATGACAACAAACTACAGTTGATCGACAGGCGACAGCATATATGCGCGAGTCTGCAGAATGATTGGGTGTTCAGAAATAGGCAAAAGCACAAGCTGGTCATTACCGTGAAGATGAGGTTCCTGTTGAAGTGATTCCAGGCAGTGATGTCATGCCAAGGAAAGGTCTGTCCACAACATAATTATGAAGAAGCAGGCAACATCATAGTACAGCAAGCGATTCGAATTGCTGCTAATGAGAAGAGGTATGTTAGGGTCCTAGTGGATGACACAGACGTCTACGTACTACTTTTGCATCATTATCTACATGACGGACTTATAAAACGCCAATGGCCATGGAGACGCCCATCACTGATCGAACTGTTATTGGTGTTCCTGCCACTGTAGACAAGTTAGGAGATATCATTCCATCGATGTTGGCAGGACATGCGTTGACGGGATGCGACACTCTTGGAGCATACTTTGGCAATGGATAGGGTACAATGCTGAAAGTGATGAAGCAGAAGATTCGACTACCTTAGGACTCAGTTGGCAATGTTGATGCAGCATGGTCATACATGTCATCACTCAATCTACTCAATGCTTTGCTTCATGTTATGGACAGTCAACAACCAGCTCAATATCAGAGGCTTGTATCAACGTGTGGCTATCAAGGGTCCGAAGACTAGGAGCTACAAATACCCCAAAGCTTGCCTCACT